ATATCCACCTTCTCATATCCCATTCCTGTATCCACCTTGTCTTCCAGATCCCCAGATCTCCAGACCTCTGGATATTAACTCCAGACCTATTCCCACCCTCTGTGATATCCTGCACCTATCCCATTTAGGCATCTCTGCCTTTCCAGCTTTTGGTTACCTCCTGTTCTGTCTTGCTGATTGATCCTTGTATGAATCTTCATCTCCAAGTTCATTTAGTTATGTTCTGTCTTACTTACTAATGTGTTTCCACATGCTCATACATAGCCTTGCTCCTTTGCTTACTGATCTCTCAGATAGTCTCCAGTATATAACCCTGTAGATACTCCTGTTTTCCTTAGTTTGAATATCAACTTAGACTTGCCCAATCCTCTCTTGGACTTTGGTCCACCTAAGTCTGTCCTACTCATCAGGCCTAGGGATTGATTCCCTAGGCCAGAGCTTTGCCTTTCCAGCACTTACCCTCTTTCCAGACTTAGGTCCAATCCCTGTTCTCTCCGACTCTACCTTAGGGTAGTCTACCTCTGTTTGCTTCTACATCAGACTTCATCCGATGTAGCCCCTATTCCTTCCAGACCTCTGGACCTCCTGTCCCTCATACCTCCAGGCATCCTGTCCTTCGGATGTTCTGTCATCCTAACCCTTGGATGTCCTATCATCCTGTCCTTCTGTCCTCCGTCATCCTGCCCTCCTGGTCCTCCTGTCCTCCTGCCCTCCGTCCTCCAGACCTTCAGACCTCCTATCATTCCATCCTGTTTCCTGTAGAAGTATTACCTTGCAGTGGGAACTCTCCTGCACTCCTTTGGACATTTCCACGCTCCTCCAGAAGTCCTCCAGACTTCATCGGACCATCATCAGACCTCATATGAAATGAAGGGCACATACTCGTGTAAGGGACACAGCGTATGAGCTGAGGCCAAGCCCCTCTGAGTCAGTCTCTCTCTCCTTTGAGCAACATGGTTCTACAGTTCACAATAGTGTGAGTGACTTATCCTGAGGATCAGAGCTGGAGTATCAGTAGGAAGGGGTGGGTATATCATCCTATAATGGCGATATAGAGGCACAATGTGGGAAACACAACAAGAAGAGAACTGGAAAGTAGACTTCTAATGTTGGGCTAAATGTGCTATGCCTAGCTGCTATTCAACCCTAAAGGGTTTCTGGACTAGACTCAGTGCTCAGAGAGAGTAGGAAATCATGCTAATAACTCTCAGTCTCAGACTGGTACTGGTAGATGGTGAAAACTATGATGATTACATAAGCACCAAAAGTGCGAACATAACACTAAGTAATATCTGCCTATACAAGCCCACAGAATATGAAATCCCTACAGCAAGTCTCTACAATGCAAACCCAGCAAAGTTTCTCACTCCAGAAATTTTTCATACCCTACACAAGTTTTTCTTTGACCACGTCCTAAAGTGGGTCAAGGAAGCCATGGGACATGAGCTCAATTTACAGTTTTAGAGTCAGCATAAGTGTGTGGGTGTGCATCATTTCATGTCAGGTGTCTCACATGTCAAGCAAATGACTGGCAGAGAGCATTGTGATATCCAGCACACCATAGTACCTACAATGTGGGGAACCATAAATCCTGCATTCATTTGTGCAGTCCATGCAATGATCAATTTCATTTATCTTGCCCAAAATCCAGTTCATACTGAAGCATCAATTAAGGACATGTCAACTGTGCTCTCTGACTTTCACAATCATAAGCAGGCTATCCTCAATGCAGAGGCACAATGAGAAAAAGGTGGAGCCAAGGACAACTTTTTCATTCCCAAACTGGAGCTTATGCAGAGCTTCACTTGTGCAATCCCACAAGTTGGCTCACTCATTCAATACTCAGCAGATGTTTTGGAATGTCTTCTCATCACCCACTGCAAATATCCTTTCAAGAAGACCAGTTGACAGAAGGATTTCATTCACCAAATTACATGGATCCTTGATTGAGAGGAGATGATCTGTCTTTTCAAGCTTTACACACTATTGGCATCATCACCAGTGTCAGCCTCCAATGACCCACTTATCAATGTTGTTTCCACAGAAGATGATGAAGTTGTTGGTCCAGAAATAGACCAAGCATTAACTTAGATTTCCCATGTAAATCCAGATGCACAATGACATCTACATGCCCCACACCCAGCACACAACCATTTCTTGAAAGGAATCATGTCTGATGATGCCAAAATCACATTCAATGTTACCATCAATCCTAATCACAAACACTTGACCATTCTCAAGCTTCAAGCACTATATGACATTGTTGACTTCTCACAGGCTTTCCACCACTACTTGATGGTCAACAACCACAGAGATCTCAGTATGCAGAGCAGTCTGATGCTCTTTAATGCTTGGTTCAAGTTTTGCATTCAGCTATATTCAGCTTTCCATGAGTGCACCATCATGCCCAGTCAACTGTTGCAAGCTGAACCCCTGTCCAGTGAATTCTTTTTTGGCCATTGTGATACTGTTCTTGTTCAGAATAGTAGGAGTACTGGTGCATCCATTCTTCAAACTTTCTGGTGTATCTTGACCTTGGGTTCATTTTCACAGTACCTTGTGTAGTTCAAGTCCAAGCTATGTTCCAGCCAACCACACTGCCCATCAAAGCACCTGTGCTCAATCAGGTGCTTGTGTATGTTCAACACTTCAATGTCATCAGAGACAAACCTGAGCCTATGATGGGGATATGGAGACTCATGTGGTCATTCATTCACAATGTCTTACAGCCACAGTCTAGAATGTGACATGGTTCAATGATTCCTCTCACTGACATCACTCATGGGGTGGAACTGATCCCTGTATATAATACCTTGTTGCCCAAGGAGGTCAACTTGAGCAATTCAATGGAGATTTTTGATGGATATTTTCTCAACAACTTCACTGACAAAGAATTGTACCACACATTAGCAGTAGCATTTGGTGTCTATTAGTAGTACTAGATTTAGATCAATGCATCTTATCATACCTTTCATTATTTGATCTTGAATATGATAAAGTGATCTTTGGGCATTGCAAACACTTACATGTTGCACCTGGATCTCCACCAATCAGCAGCCCGCACTACTGGGGTTGTAAGCGTTCATAAGTGTCCATAATGTGCATAAGTTAAGTGTTCATTTCATCATTTTGCAGATGTGTGTCATATCCCATATGCCAGACATAGATCCCATCATATTCCCACGCTTTCCGGACCTATTTCCGGACCCCATATCCAACTCATTCCTGGATCCCCTATCCTGTCCACCCTACATACATTCTGTCCAGCAAGATATCTGGACTTTACCTCCTCTTGGATTCTGGACTACATCCACCACCTCACATATCTCAGTCCTGTTTCCACCCTGCCTTCTGGATCCCCAGATCTCTGGACCTCCGGATATTAACTGTACTATCTCTGGACCTATTCCCACCCTCTGTCCGAGATCCTGTGCCTATCCCCATTTAGGCATCTCCCCCTTTCTGGTCCTTGGTTATCTCTGTTTCCATCTTGCTGATTGATCCTTATACTAGTTTCATCTCCGAGTTCATTTACTTATGTTCCATCTTACTTACCAATGTGTTTCCGCATGCTTGTACATAGCCTTACTCCTTTGCTTACTGATCCTCTTGGATAGCCTCTAGTATATAACCCCTGTACAACTACAGTAGAGTCCTCAGTTTGAATATCATCTTAGTTCCTGCTCTCTCATCTTAGTTCCTGTTCATCACCTTAGATCTGCCCAACCATCTTCTGGACTTCAGTCCATCTGAGTTTGTCCTTTTCCATAAGGCCTAGGGATGGATTCCCTAGGCTGGAATTCTGGACCTTCAGATTTGTCCCCTATGTCTCTGTCCCAAGTCTAGGGATTGCTTCCCTAGGCTAGAGTCTTGCCTTTCCGGCACTTACCCTCTTTCTGGACTTAGGTCCACTTCCTGTCTCTCCGACTCTACCTAAGGGTAGTCTACCTCTGTTTGCTTCTACATTAGACTTTGTCCAATGTAGCCCCTATTCCTTCTGGACCTCTGGACCTCCTGTCCTGTGCACCTCCAGGTGTCCTGTCCTTCGGACATTCTGCCCTCTGTACCTTTGGACATTCCATCTTCCATACCTCCATGTCCTGTCCTCTGTACCTCTGGACATCCTACCCTTCCATCCCATTTCCTGTAGAAGTACTACCTTGCAGCGGGAACTCTCCTGAGCACTTCCTGCACTCCTCCGGAACTCTCCTGCGCTCCTCCAGACATTTCCCGTGCTCCTTCGGACTTTGTCAGACCATCATTGGACTTCCTCTGAAATGAAGGGCACATACTCGGGTAAGGGGCACAGCATACGAGCTGAGGCCAAGCCCCTCTGAGTCGGTCTCTCTCTCCTTTGAGCATGGTTCTTAACACTTCTGGAATTTGTCAAGATCTCAAATGTTGACTGTTTTGGAGATCTCATAGATAAGCTGTAGCATGTGTTTCCCTGTATGAGGGGGTAGAGAACTCCATCACCAAAATTTTCTTGTAATGCTATCATCAGAGGAGACACATTTTTGCTGACTGCAGCAATCATGGAAGCCTCTGGTAGGTCACATATGTGAGCGATGAGTGACATAAAGATGTAACGAATGAACTTGGAAGGATCAGACATAAAGCAACCATTCTTGGCTGCCAGTTTAAGGTTGGCACAGACAAGATCAATGCACTTATGCCACAGCCACACCTGAAGAATGAATTGATGATCAGGATGCACATAGAACTTAGCAATGGGCATGTGCACAATACAGTGCCAAGCTTGAAGTATGGCCTTGGAGCAAACATCTGAATCAAGATTACTGATAGTGATGAAGTTGGGGTACATCTCAAGCCCTCCAGTGGTTCTTGTCATGGGAGTTTTGTCAGATCCTAAGATGATTGGAACTTGTGTAGTGCCTAATGGGAGATGGTCCTATATGGAATTAATCTTTGAGTCGTGGACTGAGCAGGACAAACTGACTTGAATTTTCCATGCCAAATCAGCACTCATATAATCACCATACTTGTGCTGATTCCTGACATTGGCTATATGTGGTTGAAAGGTAATATGATTGGCAAAAACTGGGTCACTGAAAAGTTGTTTGACAACCTCTAAAGCATTGCACCAAATGAGTTGGATGGGATGAGTTGTCTTGTAGCCCGTAAACTCTAGGCATGAAACTTTCCACTCTGCAAAGCATGGTAGTGTGTCCACCCAGTCTAGAAGTTGATCTTTTGAGGTGAAAGATGGTTTTGAGCAAGTGTTAAACTGTGAAGGAAGAGTCAGACCTGCCAAATAGTGCTTAGAGTCTCCTACCCATTTCAACTTCAAGAACTTGTTAATCTGAGTCTGATTCAGGTTTCCAACCAAGAACCTGGCTAGATCCCACTCTCCCTCATCATGGAAAGGATGATAAGCATTAGTCTCCTGCAGATAATTATATTGATCTTCCTGCAACCTGTCAAATAGGTTCTTGCCAACACCAAAGACATATCCAGAGCAAGGGTGACAATGGCCAGTGGCATCAGATGTCAATGGATGTGAACCTCACAATGCAGGGGGAACTGTTACAGTTCTATTCTTTTCCTTTCACCTCTTCACTTATTCACAATTACTAATCATTCTCAGACATTCCATAACATTCTATCGTACGATTCCTTATTCTCTTTTCTGATTCATTATTTACTTTCCATCTCCGATTCATTTATTAAAGCTCCGCTTTAATACCCTTATATATACTCTATCTCTTACACTTGTATTCTTTAACTTGACCTACGCAGACCAGGGCCTGCAATATACTGCTTAACTCGCACGACTCGTACATAGGTGTACGCTTTAGACTCTTTGTGACCGTTTAGCCATTCTTACGAATGCCGAGCATAACAAAAGGTCAAGTTTACCTTCTACCCCACGGTTCCCTCGAACTCATGACCAGAACAGAACCCAGACGCTCCTCCCTTTGTGTAATCACAAGGGACGAGTAGGACCCCAGAAACACCAGAACCTGAATGAACCCGATCGCCATTATGGCCGAAGAAATTGGAAAGATCCCTTTACCCTTCAATGGCAATACTCGCCTTGCTCAGGGATGGGCACTTCAAGTTGAGGCGTACCTAGATATGAACAATGAACTATATGACAGCGACAAGAAGAAAGTTATCTTCGCACTCAGCCTTATGACCAAAGGCGAGGCCGCTAAATGGGCTGAAGGCCAACTCAAGTCTGCTATTGCAACAAAGAACTACGGAACCTGGATTAATTTTGCTAAGCAATTTAAATCTATTTTCTTTCCTAAGAATGTTGAAGAAACGGCGATTCACCGAATCTCATCTCTTAGACAGACTGGTAGTGTAGCCACTTACGCATCTCTGTTCCGAACCATCCTCGCTGATACTGGCATCACTGAACAGAACACAAAGATTATGTTCTTCAGAAATGGCTTAAAGCGTGAGATAGTCTCCACTATTTACGCCTTCGAAAACACCCCTACCACCATCGAAACCTGGCTAGAGAAAGCCTTAGACATTGAGGTCTGAAGGACCTTAATAGAACCTCTATCTGATATAGAAGAAGACCTAGACGATAAGAAGAAGATGAGGAAGACGTATCTTACTCCTCAGGAACGACAACGCAGGCGCAAGAACAGCCTTTGCTTCAAGTGTGGTAAGAAAGGCTTAGCCGAAAATTGCCCTAACCACCCCACAGCTACAAATGACACTAGAAGGGTAATCAAGGAGTCACCTGACGACGATTATGAAGAATTCCAAGAATGGAAGGCGTTTAAAACGCGCCAAATGAAGAAAACTGGTAAGAAGCCGGTTAAAGAAGAAGAAACTAGCAACGAAGAGGATTTTGCTTAGGGGAGCCTGCCACGGTGTCAGAAACTCCCAGAATCAGACTAGTAGTACAATCTGTTGGCGATACTAACTCTATTTGTTTACCGTTAACCATCAGATCGAAGAAAACCGAAAAAACCACCGTAGCTGCCACTCTAATTGATTGCGGCGCAGAAGGCAAATTTATCGACGAGAAGTTCATACTCAAAGAAAACATTCGCACGCACAAATTAGAAACTCCGATACCTGTGTGAAATGTAGATGGCATGTTGAACAAAGCTGGAAGAATCACACGGTACTGTGAACTTTCTTTCCTAATTAAAGATATCCCTATGCAGAAGCGATTCTTCATAACCTCTCTAGGAGGAGAAGACACTATCCTGGGAATGACTTGGCTAAAGAAAGAAAACCCAGATATCGATTGGACTAGTCAAGAAGTCCGCTTAAGGGAGCGTACCCTAAAGAAAGCAACCATCGAAGAAGTCAAAGAAGATGAAGACGTCTTTTATGACACACTAGAAGAATTAGAACCAGAGTGGGACCCTGCTAACGAAACTATCCCACATCTTCTAGATCCCATCAACGATGATGACGACTTCTATACCTATATCCGAAAGACCGACAATATCTCCCAAACTCTCGCCCAGGACGCCACCAAACCAAAGAAGACTTTTGAAGAACTTGTACCCGAAGAGTTCCAACAATACAAGGATGTATTTGGTGATGTAGCTAACGGTACCCTTCCTCCAGAATGCAAATATGACCACAAGATCGACCTCAAAGAATCCTTCGAACCGCGGAAATGCAAAATCTATCCGCTTAACGCCAAAGAAGAAAAGGCCATGAACGATTTCATTGACGAACATCTAGCCAAAGGAACGATCGTTCCTTCCAAATCCCCCCAATCATCTCCATTCTTCTTCGTTGGGAAGAAAGACAGTTCCCTCTGACCTTGCCAAGACTATCGATACCTGAATGAACACATGGTTAAGAATAACTACCCCTTACTGCTAATCTCTGATCTTATAGATAAGCTTAAGGACGCCAAGATATTCACCAAGATGGACATTCGATGGGGATATAACAACATACGTATGAGGAAAACTGATCAATGGAAGGCAGCCTTTGCCACTTCCAGGGGACTTTTCGAACCCACGGTCATGTTCTTTGGAATGTGTAATTTGCCCACCACCTTTCAGTCAATGATGAACGATTTGTTCAGAGACATGATCCAGGAAGGGTGGATTATTATATACATGGATGACATACTCATCTTTTCTAGAGATGAAGAAACCCATTGAATCCATACTCATAAAGTACTCCAAAGACTTCGCAACAATCTCCTCCACCTCAAACCCAAAAAATGCACTTTCAATGTAACCGACATTGAATACCTCGGCATGATCATTAAGCCCAGTTCCATCGCCATGGACCCTGCTAAATTAAAAGGTATATCTGAATGGAAGACTCCCATGAAAGTGAAAGAAGTCCGATCTTTCCTTGGATTTGCTAACTTTTACCGACGGTTCATTGCTGACTACTCATCAATCGCCAGACCCCTAATAGACCTAACCAAGAAAGACGAAGAATTCTCTTGGACCTTCGAACACGAGGAAGCTTTCAATAAGCTGAAGCATATCTTCACCTCCTCACCTATCCTTCAAATTCCCAACAAGAACTCCCCTTTCGCGATAGCAACCGACGCATCATTATATGCTACAGGAGCAGTACTCCTCCAGAAAAACGATAACGGAGACTGGCTCCCATGCTCCTTTTTATCTCAATCGTTTAACCCCACTGAATGTAATTATCAGATCTACGATTGAGAATTACTCACTATCGTCCGTGCTTTGAAAGCATGGAGACATTATCTCCTCGGATCCCCTTATCCCATAACCGTACAAACTGATCATAAAAACCTTACTTATTTCAGAGACGTACAAGACTTGAACAGACGCCAAGCAAGATGGCAGACTTTCCTTTCCCAATTCGAACTCCAGATACAACACATACCCGGAAAAGAACTTATTATTCCCGATTTACTCTCCCATAGAATGGATCACCTTCCAGTTGATAGTGACAAAAAGGACAATATTAGTATTCAACTCCTTCCCGATTCGATGTTTGTAAACATCATTGATACTTCTTTTACGGACAGATTACGTATTTCTTCCTCTATTGACCCTGTAGTACACACTGCGCTTCAAGCGCTCACAGACTCTTCGATTCCTCCCCCCCTCCGGTCTGCTCTTTCTGACTGGAAATTGAGCGATGGAATTCTCTCATTCAAAGGACTTACTTATGTACCCCCCGGAGATCTCCATTGAGAACTCACTTCCTTACATCACGATTCCCCCACTGCCGGACATCCTGGATGATTCAAAACCCAGGAACTTCTTTCTCGCGATTACTGGTGGCCAGGCCTAGCCACATTCGTCAAGAACTTCGTAGAAGGTTGTTGCATCTGTCAACAGAATAAAGTAAACACACACCCTTCTACCCCGCCATTATATCCTATTCCCACTCCTATCTCTAATTGACCCTTCGCTCACTGCTCAGTTGATCTTATCACCGATCTTCCTCTCTCCGATGGCTTTGACAGCATCATGGTTGTGGTAGACCATGGACTTTCGAAGGGGGTAATCTTCACCCCTTGTCTCAAGACAATAGACGCTGAAGGCGTCGCAAATATTTTCTTTTCCAAAGTATTCTCTAGATACGGACTTTACGATAAAATTATCTCTGACCGCGGACCTCAGTTCACTTCCAGATTCCAGGTCAAACTCAGAAAACTCCTTGGATACAAGAATTCCCTTTCCACCGCCTTCCACCCTCAGAGTGACGGAGAAACTGAACGAGTTAATCAAGAACTCGAAGTTTATCTTCGGATCTTCTGCGCCAACGACCAAACTGGTTGGGCGCCCATGTTGCCACTAGCCAAATTCGTCCATAATTCGTGCCACCATTCCGCACATGGAACCCCTCCTTTTTACCTCATGATGGGTTATCACCCACATCACCTCCCTGATTCTCATCCGAAATCCGATATCCCCAATATTGAACAACGACTCTCATTACTTAATAAAGCATGCGACAAAGCGCTAGCCGCTCATGAACTCACACAAAACACCACGCGTCAATGAATCATGTCTAAATTCGTACCATTCTCTAAAGGCGATAAAGTATGGCTAGAAGCCAAAAATCTCCATCTCAGATATCCTAACCAGAAACTCGCTCCTAAATGCGAAGGACCATTTACCATCATTGACGTACTATCTCCTATAACTTATCGACTCACACTCCCTGTGCAATGGCGCATTCACCCCGTATTCCACGCCGCACTCCTTTCTCCTTATAAAGAGAACGATACCCACGGCCCTAACTATATTCCACCTCCCCCTGACTTGGTTGATGGCGAAGAAGAACACAAAGTTGAAGTGGTCATCAGACACTGCGGATCTTCATCACGAAGACAATATTATGTAAAATGGAAGGGATTCCTGAGTTCCGAGAATGAATGGATGAAGGAAGCCGAACTAGGTAACGCTTCCAAACTTCTTACTAATTATAAAC